TTAAAAATAAGCTATTAAACTACTGAAATGGCAAAACAACTAAACAGGTGGAGATACCTAAAATAGCACGGTCTAGTTTATTGTTGTGAACTGCCCAGAGAGCTTCAGCTACTGGGCAGTATAGAAATGTAATAAATAAATAAATAATAAATATTGTGCATCTCTGGGATTTTTAATCCTGCTCTTAGGCAGAGGTGTTTCCCAGCCCTGGACTACCAGTTCAAGCTCAGATCTCTTAAATGGAAATAGTGCCATCAAAGCTAAATTACTTCTTATGGGATAGGACAGCACTTCATTAGTTTCAGTGCTAGAGAACCAATTGCATTTTTATAACAGGTCATATAAGCCTTTTGGGATTGGAAAAAATGTCAAGCTATGGTCACGATCTAGAATCTGTGTTTAATATTCTGGCAATATTTGGTGGGCTATTCATAGTCCTGGGAACTTAACCTTCACACTCCTGGGAATCACACATGGATATCTAGCTTTCATGGTTACCATAAATCAAAAGATGAAAACATGTAAGAAATGTTTGTTAACCAGGGCAATATGGAAATTTCATATATTGCTTTCTGCCACATTCTTTGCTCTTACTTTTTACAAGTTGTTGCATGTTTTGCTTGTTTTACTTTGTCACTGAAGAAGGGAGCAAAAAGCTACCCTCTGTCTTGTGATTTTCCTAGCTGACCAATGCAAGTGCTTACTCTGTCACATAGAGAGAGAAGCTGGTTAGTGCTGGGGGGGGGGGGGAATTTTCAACAGGTGCAGACAAATTGTACAAGACCAAACTCTTATCTTCCAGAATTCCAAAATCATAGCAATTTAACCTTCTTTCTGTCACAAGAGTTGTACAATATTTATGCTATTCTCAACATCTGGAATTCCTATTAACTCATGGATAGAAGATTCAGGGTCAATTCACACAAGCAGATTTCCTACAAGGAAATTAATTCTATGTGGGAAATGAGATGCATCACATATGCAAGTTTCTTAAATGCAACAAATGCATAAGTGTATCTTTAATGCACATTGCTACACAAAAATGACTTCCACACATAAAAGTTTGTTTCATAAAGTGGTTCTGGATGACAGGCAGTGGACAAAAACTAGGCAAAAAGATAAGCCATTTCCCAAAGAACACATTCCGTTTGGGCATAAAGCAAGAGAAAGCAGCTGGCTACAACAGACAACAGAGCAGAGATCCTGGGAAAGAAGAAGATGCTTATGTTCTGCATTGTACACTATCCTTTGAAAAGGCTTCCTCTTATTTTATGTACTGGTTTAGCATAGTTGAAGGAATTGCAAAGTATGTAAGGGGTAGGGTCCTATATTCCTAATTCTTTCCCCTGTCATCAGAATGAGATCATATTTTTTTCCAGTTTATACTGAAGTATCTTAGAAAAGTTTCAATTAAACTATTTTTAGAATGCTTTATGTTTGCAAATCAAATTTTATTATTGATTTCTTTCAGTGAATAAGCACATATTTAAAAACTAAATATCTTAATATGGAATTCCATTTTGGCTTTCACTAATAAGAAAAAACAACAATTTACATGTAATTTGGTTTTATTTAATTAAAGGCCATATACATACATTGATATTATTTTAAAATAACATGAGATTCAGAATAATGCCTGATTTGGTACAAGAAATGGGCAACTGAATTCAAACTATTTTACATGATATTCAATATGGATGCTAAGAGAGGACAATCCTTAAAATGTTCATTGAAAAAGTAACTTTCATTATTAGAGCTAAACAAATATTACAATTTTCTGGATGCAGTGGCATTTAAAAAACATGACTGTGTGAACTGCTGTGACACATGACTGGTACACTTCAGAAGTTTATTTAAAACTTTAATCCGAATTCTATTAAAGTAAATGCTGATAATTCATAATTATTAGTTTGTGTCATATAATTTCAACATAATTTATTTTGCTTCTAAAAGCCTTCATTATTAAATGCATTTGATTTTCCTTCCCTCTTTTCAGTTGCATGTTATTTATAAAAAATAGCACTGAAATTGCATTACAGAACTGCTACAAGACAAGGAAAGTATTCAACATTTGTTCTGATTGTTGCAATACTTAATTATTTTGTAGTTGTTTGTTTCACAGTGGTGAGATATTTACATCCGGTCCAAATCCGGATTGACTATTTAATCTAGCATTCAGCTATAGCAAGCTATTCAAAACGAAGTATACACGTTAGGCACACTTATAAATCCGGATAGCCCGTAAGACCTCCATAACACAATTTTCCTAACTCTGCTTAATAATCTGTCACGTTGTGATGTACAATTATTTTTTTAAAAAGCGGTACACAATTATTTCCATATATTTTCCACTTAGTAGAATCGATTTTTATGCTGCTTAGTCGAAACCATCGGATGCAAACGGTGCGATTTAGGAGGAGGAATCGGCACCCGGTGCAAATCTGTGGCAAAACCCCGCGTCGGCGGCCACCTCTATTTGCCAGTCGCGCAGTTTGTTCCGACTGCCCGGAGCTTTTCAGGCACTCCCGCTGAAAGAGCGAGGCAACGAGACGGCGGCAGCGAGAGGGGTGTGAGTTCGAATTTGAATGAGCCTCGGAGGAACCGCGAGGCTCTCATTGGCGAACCGGAGGGGAAGCGCCCCCGGCGCTCGCGCTTCTGCAGGCGCGCAGCTCCGCGATGGAGCGCGCAGACGAGGCGCACGGCGCCTTCCCGGGCTCGCCTCCCCGCGCCCCGCGCCCCGGCCCCGGCCCCGGCCCCGCCGCGGAGCGACCCTGCGAGCCACCCCGCCCCGCGCCCCGCCGGCCGGTCCGCCGAGGCGCCCGA